ATTAACTAATGTTAACAAATACAACGTGAATGTAATAATGTATTAGTAAATGTTGAAATTAATATTAACTTAGATTAATAAATGCTGTAGAAGTATTGTTCATTCTTAATTCATGTTAACTAAGGTCGTTAACTAATGTTAACAAATGAGACCTTATTGTAGAGTGCTACAAATTTCTCTGAAAGGAAAACATGTGCATAAACTATGATGGAAACATTTACCAAGACTTTTTATTCTTTTATTACTGAAATTTTGCACCAATTTTCCAGAAAGTGCTGATGTTGTCCTCTTGAACACATGCGAGTGAAGCGCTGCTTTATTCGGCTATTTCAATAGTTGTGTTTTACAGAAGCTTGTTTCCGCCACAGAATAAAACATTTTAAAGGATAATTGTGAGTTTACATCTCGCAATTCTGACTTTATATCTCCAAACTCCGTTATAAAGTCAGAATAGCGTGAAATAAAGTCAGAATTGCGAGATATAAAGTCAGAATTGCGAGATATAAAATCAGAATTCCGAGATATAAAGTCAGAATTGCGAGATATAAAGTCAGAATTGCGAGATATAAAGTCGCAATTGCGTGATATAAAGTCAGAACTGCGTGAAATAAAGTCAGAATTGCGAGATATAAAGTCAGAACTGCGTGATATAAAGTCAGAATTGCGAGATATAAAGTCAGAATTGCGAGATATAAAGTCAGAATTGCGAGATATAAAGTCAGAATTGCGAGATATAAAGTCAGAATTGCGAGATATAAAGTCAGAATTGCGAGATATAAAGTCGCAATTGCGTGATATAAAGTCAGAACTGCGTGAAATAAAGTCAGAATTGCGAGATATAAATCAGAACTGCGTGAAATAAAGTCAGAATTGCGAGTTATAAAGTCAGAACTGCGTGATATAAAGTCGCAATTGCGAGTTATAAAGTCAGAATAGCGTGAAATAAAGTCAGAATTGCGAGATATAAACATGCAATTCTGAGAAAAAAAGTCACAATTGCGACTTTATATCACGCAGTTCTGACTTTATAACTCGCAATTCTGACTTTATTTCACGCAATTCTGACTTTATATCTCGCAATTCTGACTTTATATCTCGCAATTCTGACTTTGTATCACGCAGTTCTGACTTTATAACTCGCAATTCTGACTTTATTTCACGCAATTCTGACTTTATATCTCGCAATTCTGACTTTATATCTCGCAATTCTGACTTTATATCACGCAATTCTGACTTTATATCACGCAGTTCTGACTTTATAACTCGCAATTCTGACTTTATTTCACGCAATTCTGACTTTATATCTCGCAATTCTGACTTTATATCTCGCAATTCTGACTTTGTATCTCGCAATTCTGACTTTATATCACGCAGTTCTGACTTTATATCTCGCAATTCTGACTTTATATCTCGCAATTCTGACTTTGTATCTCGCAATTCTGACTTTATATCACGCAATTCTGACTTTATATCTCGCAATTCTGACTTTATATCTCGCAATTCTGACTTTATATCTCGCAATTCTGACTTTATATCTCACAATTCTGACTTTATATCACGCAATTCTGACTTTATATCACGCAATTCTGACTTTATATCACGCAATTCTGACTAACTCACAATTCTTACTTTATAACTCAATTCTGACTTTGTAACTCGCAATTCTGACTTTATATCACGCAGTTCTGACTTTGTAACTCGCAATTCTGACTTTATAACTCAATTCTGACTTTGTAACTCGCAATTCTGACTTTATATCACGCAGTTCTGACTTTGTATCTCGCAATTCTGACTTTATAACTCAATTCTGACTTTGTAACTCGCAATTCTGACTTTATATCACGCAGTTCTGACTTTGTATCTCGCAATTCTGACTTTATATCACGCAATTCTGACTAACTCACAATTCTTACTTTATAACTCAATTCTGACTTTGTAACTCGCAATTCTGACTTTATAACTCAATTCTGACTTTATATCACGCAATTCTGACTTTGTAACTCGCAATTCTGACTTTATATCATGCAATTCTGACTTTATTTCACGCAATTTGAGATGCGATGCCATTGGTCCACTGGTTACTCCAGTTATCCAATCAGAGCCTCTGCTGAGGCACATCGAGGGATTTATTCGGAAAATCGTAGTTTATGCACATCTTCTTATTGGATAAAACAATGTATCCGCCTCAATTGAGCGCATATGTTTTTTATGAATATTTTTTTAATTTATGCGCATCTTTGCGTTTCCATCCAGTGTTTTTTTACGCGATTATCACAAAATGCGCTTTAAAAATAGGTGGGTGGAAGAATAGCTATTGTTTTGCAACTTTAGATGGAAAAATAGCTACAGACTGTGACATTTGAAGAAATCACTTTGAGCGCCACAGAAACACAAGTGTGCATGTCACGTATGTTCATCCATCAGTCAAGCATTGGTATCTGTGTGTTTGTGTACAGTGTGTTTCTGGTGCTTGTTTGGGCTGGCTTCTTCTGTTGTACTTTTGCGTGTAGTCATTTCGATCAGAACAAACCTAATTTATATGAACAGTGTGTTGATAAGTTATGTTATACTTTGGCTTAATATACTTTATACGTTAAGGAGAACGTCGTTCATGACCCTTAAAGAGACGCCGCAAGTATCAGACTGATGAAAACAATAATGAGGATACTTGATGGAAGTTTTTGTCAGCGAATGGTTATTTGAAATAATTTTAAATATTTCAAATATGTGAATTTACATGCTTTACAAAAACTTATATTCGTGACATCTTTAAGGTCCTAACCCGATGCGATGAGATTCTAGAGACGCAACTAAGAGATAAGACAAAATCACAGCCAATCAGAAGAGAGTGTGGGCGGAGTCTCTCTGCAAGCGCACTGCACTCACAACCAAATCAACCCAAAATCACAGCCAATCAGAAGAGAGTGTGGGCGGAGTCTCTCTGCAAGCGCACTGCACTCACAACCAAATCAACCCAAAATCACAGCCAATCAGAAGAGTGTGTGGGCGGAGTCTCTCTGCAAGCGCACTGCACTCACAACCAAATCAATCCAAAATCTCAGCCAATCAGAAGAGTGTGTGGGCGGAGTCTCTCTGCAAGCGCACTGCACTCACAACCAAATCAATCCAAAATCACAGCCAATCAGAAGAGTGTGTGGGCGGAGTCTCTCTGCAAGCGCACTGCACTCACAACCAAATCAATCCAAAATCACAGCCAATCAGAAGAGTGTGTGGGCGGAGTCTCTCTGCAAGCGCACTGCACTCACAACCAAATCAACCCAAAATCACAGCCAATCAGAAGAGTGTGTGGGCGGAGTCTCTCTGCAAGCGCACTGCACTCACAACCAAATCAATCCAAAATCTCAGCTAATCAGAAGAGTGTGTGGGCGGAGTCTCTCTGCAAGCGCACTGCACTCACAACCAAATCAATCCAAAATCACAGCCAATCAGAAGAGTGTGTGGGCGGAGTCTCTCTGCAAGCGCACTGCACTCACAACCAAATCAATCCAAAATCTCAGCCAATCAGAAGAGTGTGTGGGCGGAGTCTCTCTGCAAGTGCACTGCACTCACAACCAAATCAACCCAAAATCACAGCCAATCAGAAGAGAGTGTGGGCGGAGTCTCTCTGCAAGCGCACTGCACTCACAACCACATCAACCCAAAATCTCAGCCAATCAGAAGAGTGTGTGGGCGGAGTCTCTCTGCAAGCGCACTGCACTCACAACCAAATCAATCCAAAATCTCAGCCAATCAGAAGAGTGTGTGGGCGGAGTCTCTCTGCAAGCGCACTGCACTCACAACCAAATCAATCCAAAATCACAGCCAATCAGAAGAGAGTGTGGGCGGAGTCTCTCTGCAAGACGTGTCGCGTCTGGTTAGGACACGGTGTCTGGGTCGTCGACTTCTCCGTGGTGCTGCAGTATTCAGCGTTAGCAAAGAGTTAGTCATTTTTTATTTTCCCTTATGTATATTTGGACATTATATGTTTGTTTATTTATGTTATCTTTTTATTTCTCCAAAAAATACTGTACTCCAATAAATTATGATATCTCTCAGAGATCTATCTGGTCACTTACCATTTAGTTCGAAATCTTATTTATGTCAAATTTGTATTTGTATATAAACACAAATAGGGAGTATATGTTGTGTTCTGGCAGCTGCGATTGGCCAGATTCAGATCACGTGATCACACACAGGAAGTGTAACACCTGTTAACTTATGATTACAGTATCGAAACTGTCACTAAATGTGCCTACAGAAACAAAACAAAGACAAAAATGTAAATATTTAATATTTTGACATTAAATAAAATGTATGATTTAATCACAATGTTCTCATGAATTATTTTTTTATTTCTATGAATGAAATTGCCCTTTTTCACATGGTGTCTGTCTAAATATGTAACTTACACTAATAAAATATATTAATATGGATATATGGAATATTTTGTTACTTTAATAAGGGAAAATATGTTCCCTTTTACGTATTTATATCATACAGTTATATAATATACAATATTTATATCATACATATTTATATCATACAGCCATCCAATCATTCTATGTATATATATAATCACTGTATACCTACAGAGATAGAGATAGATACACAAGTTTACTAGTAGGCTATATTTAGTTTACTGGATATATTATATACATATAGTAAGTCTATATACATATAGACAATGTATTTTTTTTAAACACATGTGCCATGGTTACATACAAAGACTCAACATAACATGGCCATTTCCTGTGTAACACTTTAAAATGAATTTTTATGAGGGTATAAAATTTAGCCTAATATCGATTCGATCTGTTGTACTAGCTCAGTTTCAGCTCGACGTATTATTATGTTTAATAAGGTATGCTGCTTGGTGGTAATGGTAATGTGTTTAACAATGATAATAAATATGTTAATGCCTGTGTGTTATTTGAAAGGATTTAATAAATAAATAAATCTTGACGCTCCGACTGTCGTAAACTGTCGTAAAGCGAGCACGGAATACGGCAGACGCGTGTGCGGAGCGTGCAGCAAGTATTCAGTGTTTTGGTTAGATAGCATAACATTAATGAATCCGTGTTAAATCTGTGTTGATGTGGTGAATATGTTGCCTGTCATGGACAACAGCAGTGAAGCAGATGATGACCGGAGAGGAGTTAAGCGCAAGATAGCCTTGTCGAGGTCAGTTTCTTCAGTGTAACTTAACTTACAGTGTAAATATGTAATAATGTAGGGTAACGTTAAATCATAGTGATTGTGTTACTCTGTTTACATCTGTGAACGTTAGTGTGTCTGCTGGCATTGTCGTATATGTTTGCTTGTCTACAGTTAAATTTGGCTAAAACATCTGTTAGACATAAGATCGGTAAGTTACCATAGTAAATTAAACGTACCATATGGTTTACCGTTTAACAACAAACTAACTGTTACGTGTTTTAACTCAATTGCTTTATACATTATTGTATTTTGTTTATATCAGCATTCATATATCGATCATCTGACATTTAAAACACATATTGATGATTGATCGCTATTTTAAATATAAACAAATTTAATTTATAATTTAAAATGAGCAAACGTTTAGGATAAAATCCTCTTGTGTTTGTGTTTCGACTTCTTAAGTTGTGATGTTTGTGAGACTGAAGAGGCCAAATACAGATGTCCCAGCTGCAAGAAACACACCTGCAGGTGAGACACATACTCACTCACTCACTCTCTCACATACACACACTCTCAAACACTCACTCACTCACTCACTCACTCTCTCACATACACACACTCTCAAACACTCACTCACTCTCAAACACACACTCACTCACTCACACCCACTCACTCACTTCCACTCACACTCACTCACACACACACACACAAACACACTCACTCACTCTCACACTCACTCACTTACACTCTCAAACACACACACTCACTCACTCACTCACTTCCACTCACACTCACTCACTTCCACTCACACTCACTCACAAACACACACACACACACACAAACACACTCACTCACTCTCACACACGCTCACTCACACCCACTCACACACTCACTCACTTCCACTCACACTCACTCACACCCACACACACACACAAACACACACACTCACTTACTCACGCGCTCACTCACTCACACCCACACACACTCACTCACTCTCTCACATACACACTCACTCTAACACTCTCAAACACACACACACGCTCACTCACTCACTCACACTCACACACACTCACACCTACTCTCACTCACTCTCAAACACACACACGCAGACTCATTCACACTCACACACGCACACACACACACACACACACACAGACTCATTCACACTCACACACTCACACACACACACACACACACACACACACTCACTCACTCACTCACTCACTCACTCACTCACTCACTCACACACACTCACAATGCCATGTTAACGCATGATAACGTAAAATACATATTAAATAAATTTACATATATATATATATTGCTGAAATATAACAATAAAAATATAAACAAATATAACAAAAAAACATGTCAACTGTCCCCTTAAAAGCCCAAAGTATTCTTCAACCGCCCGCATTTCTGTTCATGAGAAGAAATAAAGTATACCCGGGCCTTAAAGCTGCAGTAGGGAGTTTTGAGAAAACGTTGACTTAGCCTGAAAATTTGAACAAGCACAACTTACAGGTCCCGCCCCCTTGCTCTCTGCTGCGCTACAGCCCTCCCTCCACAGCTCGCCCTCCACAGCGGAGCCGGCCGTGAACGCGCAGGCTAGTAAACAGGGCCACCGATAACAGCGGATAAAAAGTTATATGGCACATTCACTAATAGGGACTAAACGTCAATAATATGCTTTACATTGACTATGGCCTGCCCATACTTTGACTACAAACTTGGTCCTCAAATCATTATGTATTTTCCAATAGCCTACATGTAACTTTATAACGTTGCACTCTTTCTATAAGTTATAAATAGCTAGTAAGTAGGGCTGTAAATCTTTGGGTAGGCAGCGAATCGATTCGATTCACGATTCATAGGTTTTCGATTCAAGAACGATTTTTGCAAATTCAGAAAGATTCGATTCAATGCGATTCACATTAAAATTCGATGCGATTCGATTCTTAATTTTTTATATGCATTCATAGGATTATTTCAATGCTTCCCCCAATGGGTCTTAGTCAGGGTGTGAATTATACAGCTGCCTTTGGGGGTCAGAGAGTGGGAACAAAAAAAAAAACAACGACATTTTGTCTATTGTTAACGTTAGTCCATGTTAGTTTTTAATGAATCTATTATTATAAAAAATATTTCCAAAGCCTATAAATTAGCATTTGTAAAAATGTAAACCAAGATTTAAAAAGGCTTTAAAAGTATAGTAAGTTCATCATGCTAACTATTTTGTAGGAATGGATACACAACCTTAAAGTGTTCCTGGTACTGGTTAAACATCCTCCATTGTGAGACTAAAAATACCATGAACTTTCCCAACTAAACCTTAACTAACGTTTCCTCATGGAATAGCTACTCTTTGTTCTCTTTATCCGACTGAACATTGTCCTTGTGATTCTGAAAGAAAACGCGCCGGCTGTCTACTTGTGCTATATTAACGATTACGAATGCAACTTTAATGCGCATCTGATTGATGGATAAACCACGCGCTCTTATTTCAGTGTAATTAATGTTGTAGTTATTTCATCAGTTCAGTTTAACGACATTAAGTTACATTTCATTCATCATTCATGATTAATCGGAAGCGTGTGCATTTTAGACACCTATTATACGTTTTCTCTTTCCATGTAATAAATGCGCACCCTTGAATAAGTGGGGTTTTACTTTAACTGCTCAGGACGGGTATGACCCATTTCCGTAAAACTTCAGTAGCCTATCTTATCTTAAAGAAAATAACGGTGACGTTTCCACGCAACGAACGCGTTGTGTCATAGCACTAGCAGTGACCGCGCAATGATATGGCAGCTTTATCAATGGCTTGCTTTCTCGATAGAGAGCTGTCATCTGCTCATGTGAACACCAATGGCTGTCCTGAGGAGAGCTCAAACACGGACTGCTCAAAAATCTGCAGATGAGAGCTATATGGGACCGAGCGCGAGCGAAATCCAGTGAAAGATGGTAAGAGTGCAGCGAGTATGTGAGAGCTGTGAGGACGCGAAATGACGCCGCACGCCTCATTAATTCGCGCATGTAGTCATTTAATGTTCATATGTTTTAAAGCACTGAATCGATATAGAATCGCAAATTATTCGATTCTTAGCATTTTAAATCGAATATTGACCGAAATAAACGATTCACGATTCGAAATACATGTTTCAAGATCGATGCATATGCATCGTCAGGATTTGTAATCGATGCATCGAGAAAACGAATGAATCGTTACACCCCTACTAGTAAGATAACGTTAATATAACGGTAACTAACGTTACAGTATGTAAGTAATTATTCTAGCGATATATAATGCTAGATAAGGTGTGCTAGTACATTATTTCAGCAACATGACGAGCCAGTGAATTAGCAGGTTTCAATTGTTGCTTAGCAAAGTGCGTGACATTTTATCTACGTGTTATGCGGCTAGAGTTTTGACACCAAGTCAATGGGCTCTGTGTAATTCTTTCTTTTTCGCTTGTTTATCGTCATCAGTCTTTTTCCTTTTACCTCTTTGTTTGATGAGCAGGTGTCACTCGAGAATTGGCAGTTTAGGTTGTTTCTCCGTCATAAGCACAGCTGCAGCACGCCGGCAATCTTGAGTTTGAACGACGGCTCGCGCTGTGCAAGAGAGGGGTGTGATCAGCGCGGACACGAGCGTGATTGACACTGCTAAGACATTCCTCCTGGCTCTGATTGGTTGTTTCTGACCGGGAGCGTGTATTTCTTGCAAATGACAATAGGACCACTGGGAGGAGCCAGAGGAGCTTGATTTTTACACAGATTATCTGTCTCATATTCTACTGTCAGGACATAATGACAGTTTTAGCAAATACATGTTTTCAAAAGTTACCTACAGGAGCTTTAAGTGTGTAATTTGTGTTGTTTGTGTATTCATAAATGGTTATGTGTGCTGTTCTGAGTTCTGCTTCTGTCCTCTGTGCAGTTTGGCTTGTGTCAAGCAGCACAAGATGGTGTCGGGATGCTGCGGTGTTCGGGACAAGACGACGTTCGTCCCTCTCGCTGAATTTGATGAAATCAACCTGCTCAACGGTGAGTATCTGCAGCCGTCCTTACAGAAACCCTGATAGTTAAACCGCTTAATGAATGTGATGAGTTATCGTAGAGATAACGGTCCGCTCATGTAGATTACAGGTTTCTGGAGGACACCGCTCGACTGAGTCAACAGTCCAACCGAGACGCCGTCCTGCTCGGCAGCCGTCGACACCCGAAGGAGGTGAGTACTATCCGGGTCACGGCACCAAATGTAACCGGTCCTACTTAACCTGCTCCAAGCGGGATTCAAACCCGTGTCTCTAGCATGGGAGCCGGGCGCTAACAAGGATGCTAAAGACTGCAGTCTCTAGTGTCAGTCACTAGTGCGCTTCCTGAGACCAGGGGAGTGAGGTTTTACCATAGACTGTAAAAAAGATGAACGATGCTTCTTCTATCTCTTCCATTGTATAAAAGTGAATCCGCCAAAGTCCTAATATGGCGCTGACATCTCGCGCTGATTCTGCGCAGTAGTGAACGTGAAGTGGAGTCGCGATATCAAGGTCCCGCCCACTCTCACACACACACTCCCGCAGTAATGGTTAATACAAAGTTTACTGCAGAGCAACTCATTGTGTCGGTGTGAAATAAACCATTATGGAAATGTAGAAATTTAAATTGTGGAAGATCCCCCCCAAAAGAGTCACTTGGTGCCTTAGTGACTACTTCGCTCAGAGAAGCTGTCAATCATGATGTCACTATCCCGTTTTTATAGCATCAAATAACTAACTTAGACCAAACTTATTTAAAAAATGAACACTTAAACTTTCATCCGTGTTATTAAAAACGACCTAAAATGACAGAAAACATCTTTGGAAAAAATGTATTTGAAGTGTAATTTGAATGTTTAGCTTGCCTCACGCCCCATTAGACTACATGGAGAGGGCGGGGTTTAGGAGCTATACTGGGACCAGCCACCTGGGGGCGATCGAGACGCTTCGGCTTCACTTTTCAGGACTTGTGTTGTGAGGCTTTACTTGCACAGCTCTTTACTAGCTGGCTTCTGTTATACTCACCCCACTTAACCTCACTCCCATCCGGGTCACGGCACCAAATGTAACCGGTCCTACTAAACCCGCTCCATGTGGGATTCGAACCGGTGTCTCCGGCATGGGAGGCGGGTGCTAACAAGGACACCAAAGACTGCGATATCTAGTTCAGTCACTAGTGCGCCTCATGAGGCCAGGGGAGTGACGTTTACACCACAGCTCTTTACTAGCTGGCTTCTGTTTTACTCACTCCCATCCGGGTCACGGCACCAAATCTAACCGGTCCTACTAAACCCGCTCTGTGGGATTCGAACCGGTGTCTCCGGCATAGGAGCCGGGCGCTACCAAGGATGCTAAAGACAGCAGTCTCTAGCGTCAGTCGCTAGTGCGCCTCATGAGGCATGAGTCGAATATTCGATCTGTATTCATTATTAGAAAAATAAAATACTATTCGTATTTTACTACGTTTGCTTTGCTGGCTGTTAATGCAGTGAATCCATGATAAATTTCTCGTTAAACGTCATTTAAATAAACGAATGTTCGATTTTTATGAGCCCGAATATTCTTTCTAATACAATATTTTAGAAAAATGCCCATCCCTAACCGGTCCTACTAAACCCGCTCTAAGCAGGATTCAAACCTGTGTCTCCGGCATAGGAGCCGAGCGCTAACAAGGATGCTAAAGACCACATTCTCTAGTGTTAGAGGCTAGTGGGCCTCATGAGGCCAGGAGAGTGAGGTTTACACGCACAGCTCTTTACTAGCTTGCCTCGCTTGCCTCTGTTTCATATATACACGGATCATGCTAAAAAAGGCCTATTGAAAGCAACCATCCAAAGGAGTGTGTATCCAAATTCAAACCCCAACAAATAGTTGTGAGGGCGGTTAACAAGATAAAGGGGTGCTCTGCCGACTGCCCATCATGATTTACCACTTGCTTTACACTTCTGCGGAGTGGAGGTTGGGGGAATTCAGTGTTGTGCAGAGCCACACCGGCCTAACCCGAATAGCCGTGCCATGAGATGCGACTCATTTGATGACATTCTGTATTATGAATTTTTTAAGGCCAGACAAGTAGTTTGTTGAGGTCAATTTGGTCATATATATTCAAACCCTCATATCTATAGACTGAACACGTAATACGCATGTGCACACCGTCAGCCCTTACAGAATCACGTTTTTGAAGTTTACGCGGAGATGATAACGTTTTTCTCCATTTTTCATCGCTTACGCCTTGGAACCTGTTTCAAAGTTTGCGTTCTCGATCACCGATCACTAGGGTTGTGCAAATGAACGGCCAGAACGCATTAAAAGTTTTCTGTTAGAACGGTGTCGTGTTAGCGGCACCTAAGTTAAAGGTACAATATGTAAGAATTTTTCGCCACAAGAGGGCGCAGTTACCAACAATAACAAAGGCGAAGCTTGGTGACGCTATGAGGGAGAGTTGAACGATGGGAGATGTCGTTTTCACTATCCAGAGATGTTATGGAATTAATGAATCATGATCACGGATGAGGTCATTTGTTTTTGTATTACCTGTACGTCTGATCGCAATATTTTATGTCACCATAATGAATTAACTGCAAGGAACGCAAAATGTTATGCTATATTATCCTGCTACAGCTATTTGTCAAATGATTTGTTGGGTTAATGCTGCGCAGTTTTACGTGTTTATGGTTAATGTCGTGTTGTTTTACGTGTTCAAACCAATCGTACTCAAAGTAAATTTAAAGGAACATTTGCAAGTAATGGCTAAATATTGTTTAACAACACATATCCGATTGTATTTAATTGCACTGCCATAATCTCGGTCAAAACACGAGTGATAAAAAGCATTACCAAAGTACAAAGAGCAATTTTCATCAGCATAACGATCACTTGATAGTTTTTGAGGTGAATCAACACATGCATAATGATTGATCTGTCACGTCATATAGGCGTATGTATCTCGCATTGTTTATAAGTGATATTATTGACAGTTGCATGTGTTGCAAGGAAACACAGATACATCCTTTTGTTTTATGTACATTTGCTCACCTGTCTAATAAAGTATATGCAAGAGCGGTGTTGCTCCAAGTTAGTCGCGGACGTGGAGCTCTCGGCATCTCGAAAACGCCACGCTGATGTTGATCCTCATTTTAGTTCTCCTTTTTTGTCCCAAAGTCTGCTTGCTATGGTCCATAATGTTTGAACGAAACAACAACAGCGTGCAGCTAAACGTTACGCTCTACACAGTTGTCCACGTCTGTCGCCATGGTTACGTCATGGCTATGGCAGTGTGAACGGAAACCGAGGATAGCGTGGATATTCGCGTCATTGACAGGCGACATTTTTTTTCTGGGACGGCAACTTATTTAAAATTGGAATTTCTCTGAAATAAATAATCTTTGGAGACTTTTGGGATATTGTAAGTACACAACTGCAGGAAACATATCACACTGTGCAAGTGATTTTTGGATATTTTATTACAAAATTCCTACATATTGTACCTTTAATAACTAATGATCTTTGCAACTTGAAGTGAATCAATCAAAACTAACTTTATCTGGACAATAACTTTATTCTAGAGCTGCTGTAAAGTTACTGTAATCTCCTGTTATCTCTGTAAAGCTGCTTTGAAACAGTCTATATTGTTAAAGCGCTATATAAATGAAGCTGACTTGGCTTGACATCTGCCTCGACTCTACACAATGCGAGACCACTAGGGGTGTAACGATACGCGTATTCGTATTGAACGCGTGTTCGTTGGACCATTTTTCCTGCCGACCAAAATTTAGTTATTTCAAATGTAGGCGCGTCGCGCGTGGCAAGCGCGCTCATAATGTAAGAGACGCTGGCGTGACCACAACATTGCCCAACATCAAATGGCAAATGTAAGCGGAACGAAACTGATCTACTCGTTAATGTGTGTTTGACGGACCGTTTATCAGTTTGGACCAATGCAGCGCGAGCCGATCTTAATCATCAGCACTGTTACTACACAGCCAAATCCAGTAAAGAAAACATTTGAATTCGCCACTGAAGTAATAACATCGCTGCGAGATCTAGTGAGAAACATTCACATCTCTCCGTTATTAACGGATCAAACAGCACTGACGTGGAAACCAGGAAGAAACGTCATCATGTCATGAATGAACTATCCAGTGTCCACAGATCAGCACATTCACCATGGGTTTACTGTAGTAACTAACTGTTTGGCAGGAATAGTAGGCTACAATGCTTTCAAGGAATATTTACGTCAGTTTTATTTTGACATTATGAATACAATTGCTGCCCTCAAATGTTAATCTGAAGAACTAAAATAAACCTTTTATAACTAGCCAACTACAATATTACATTTCATTTTGTCCAAGGAGCTGTTCTGTTTTATATGCTCCTAAGAAAAGTCAAGTATAGCTCCATCATTGCTCAAAGTAAAAAAAAATATCATACTTTATGATGTTAGTTTTAATAAAAATCTTATTAAAAAAATTAAATCAAGGAAATTTCTCTGGCATTTCTTTCTTTTTGCTGTATCGAAAACGTACCGAACCGTGACACAAGTGTATCGTATCGGACCGAACCGTGAATTTTGTGAACCGTTACACCCCTAGAGACCACGATCAAAGCCACCATGCAGGCCTGAACGAACACTTGACTCTCATCCCTCAGGAAAAGAGCCAATCGAGAGCTCGCGTTACACCATTTTGGCAAGCAATGACTAACAATATCTGACGCACACACAAACAAAGCGGCTCCTGAAGACAAAAAAGCTGAGGAGATGTAACTCAGCCGCTCTTTTAATAAGCGTGGCGTTGTGGACCGATATCAGTCGCGCTGAGGCCGTTCTCGGTGGCTTCAACGGCGAGATGCGACGCCGAAGGTCCACTTCAGAAGGGCACTCACTTTTTTTTCTTCTTTCAAGGGCATGTGGATGATCAGGAGAGCAAGAGCCGCCAAAGTCACGCTGAAGTTTCTGCCCAAAATCTTCAGCAAACATCGGGAGAACAGAACCGTCTTCAGAAGAGCGTAAGTCTCTGGGATTCATTTGTGCTGAAAAGCTTTATCGTGATATGATTGTAGGGGTGGGCGATATGAGCAAAAATTAATATCACGATATTTTTCACTGTCCGGACGATATCGATATTATAACGCGATATGAGAAAAAAAATTGGAATCACATTTTAGTACACCTTAGTTAAATTACAGGCAAAATATGTATTTTAACAGTAGATAACTAGAAAAAGGTGAGGCATTTCATTGGACATAGGACATGACATGAGAACCGGCAGCGAATGAAGACTTTATTGATTTCTGAGTGAGAGCCGTCTTCGGGTGTGCTCTGTCTCCGGGAATATCTGTTGTTATAGTTTTGCTTTTTTAAATTAGTTTTTATTTTAATATCGTTTTCAATTTTGCTTTAGATTTCAGTTTAGTTTTAGCTAGTTTCATTAATGGTTTTGTTAGTTTTTATTTAGTTTTTATTTTGCAAACACATTTCTATATAGTTTTTATTTTATTTAGTTTCAGTTTTAGTAATTATAGTTTAGCTTTAGCAGAGCGAGCAGAACACTTCCAGTGTAGACCAAAGCGAGACGTTTAATTTAAGTTTAATGTTTGCACAAATTACAGTTAACTCTTATGCAGACATCTTATGGCGCTTTTCCACTACACAGTACCAGCTCGCCTCGGCTCGGCTCGGCTCGACTCGACTCGCCTTTGTTTGGTTTTCCACTGTGTAAAAGTTGTACCTGTACCTGCTTTCGGGTACTTTTTTTCGTACCACCTCCGGCGAGGTTCCAAGCGAGCTGAGGCGAGCTAAGCCGATACTAAAATGTGACGTGAAAACAATGCCGACTGCTGATTGGTCACAGATAATCTGCGTCATCATTGCACGCGCCAGATGGAGTATCCAGAATAACCCCGCCGTTTTTAAATAGTTTGGCCAGAGATAGTTACTAAACTTACTACTGTTATTATGGCAACTCGGAAGAATACGCCGTGGTCAAACGAGGAGGTGCAGACTTTCCTTTGTTTGGTTGCCGAAGAGAGGATCCAGCGAGAGCTTGATGGGGCAACGAGGAACGAAATGCGTCGCTATGACGACCGGGTACTATTTGTGGCGGTACTTTCTGCAATGGAAAACGGATCGAAAAGCGAGCCGAGTCGAGGCGAGCCAAGGCGAGTCGAGTCGAGCTGGTACTGGTAATGGAAAAGCGCCATTAGTAATAAAAATAAAATAATGGTTTGAGATTGAACAAAGCACCAAATAAATAGAACTTAAAAGTATACAAGAAAAAAACAATGAAAATTTTCATACAAACTAATTCATTAGTGTAAGGTGACAGAATAAAGGCCTACAGTTTGTACAGTATAAAACCCATTACGTCTATGGAGAGTCCCCACACAGATAGTGGACCAGTGTGTGTGTGTGTGTGTGTGTGCGCGCTTATGTGTGTGTCGTGTGTATGCGCGCGCTTATGTGTGTGTCGTGTCCTGTTATTCATAGCCTAACGTTACATTGCGGGGAAATGTCTCCACGTGGATAATATTATTAGCAGTAAATGTTTTGTAAAAACAAAGATAATAACAGCAGCTTTCAACCTTCATGAAAACATGACATCTCAAACATACAGTAGCCTAGAACTTTAACGTTTTTTTGTGCTTGACGAACTTGTTTTGGTGTTGCGCCCGCGTCTCGCAAATGAAACGGCATTCTAAAAATGTTGCGCTCAAGTTAAAAGTCAAACTTGCGTCTCATTACCTTGTTATTTCCCATTCCACCGCAAAAGATGCATCCTTTATGAACAGCCGCTTAGCACTAGCGATGTGTTCCACGTTACGGTCCTTCATTGAACGCGTCACAGGACAGCGGTTAATCGCCTCAGCAACTTCACGCGTATGAAGCGCCAAATCAGCCATTTCACAGCGTATTCGATTCTGTATCGTCATTAGTGTTAGTTGTAAAGAGTACCAAATTGAACAAAACAATATAACTGCAAAATTTGAATTTATGAATAGCCTACGGTATCCTCGGTATCGCAAAATCCATATCATGGCACAACATAATACCGGTATTCACGTTCATACCGGTATAGCGCCCACCCCTATATGATTGTACATTTATGCACTTGACAGACACTTTTATCCAAAGCGACATTGCATTTCAAGGTACACATGATAGTATGGATTCATTGTATGGATGTAATTAATTGTAATTCCGCCTGCAGATTGCCATAAGAATCATAACGCATGATATATCGGCCGCCATATCGGTATCGGCCGATATATGTTCATTTTTAATGTTATCGTTATCGGGCCGATAAGAAAATGTGGCCGATAAATATTGTATTTCCTTCAGCTGAGACACTTCAGATGTTCAACATGATGGTTTTGAATCGATTGAAATCACTTCAAAAGCGTAAAATACAGTTAAGTTAATATCGGCTGCGTAAAATCATAATGAGAACATTATAATTGTGTGCTTGAGACGTGGCTTTTTATCGTGAGACTTTTGTTTTTGCAATCAGGCTCTCAAAAATTATATAAAAATTCGGTTTTAGATTTATCGGCCAATATATCGGTTTAATCGGCTTTCAAATATAAAGAATTATCGGTTATTGGTATCGGCCAAATTTTCATCAGCGCTCAGCGACATGTTTTCTTATGTGACATGTATTTTATTTTAAATGATTGTTTTAACAAGCCTGTGTCGAGATGGGGCGTCTGTGTTGTAATGCTTAGTATTTAAAACACCCCAATAAATTAATTAAACACCTTACCTTTGGGAAGTTGGAAGTTATCCTAAGTTTAAGAAGTTATGATGATTTTGAAAAAACATTCTTTTGTCTTAAGAAAATAAACTATTAGACAATTCTTAAGATGTGTTAGAAAATAAGAACAATATAGCAGTTTTATTCTTAAGAGTGTTTTGTGAATCCGCTCCTGGTGCAATTATGTCAAAAACCTGCTTTCACACAGTTTTGTTTTGCATTGAGCCACATGGTGGCGCTCTTGGTAAGTGCAGGAATGTGGAGGGTTTCTGTCTCATCTGATGGACGTGGCTCTTGATAAATGCCAGTTTCTGGTGCTGCTCAATGGGATTCTGTTATTTAATGTGTGTTAAATGCTTTAAAAGGGCAGAAAGCTGGCAGAACAGTCTGTCAGGCTGGACCGTACATCATTACTCGCTGTTCTGTTATTTTAATAAGCGTAATGTCATTGAAGACAAGAGATCATCTACTGAACACACCTCCCTTCATGACATCACCTCATCCCATATATGGCAGTGGAGTGGACACTGGTGATTGGCTGATCTCTGGGGTTCTTGTGATTGGCTGTGCTCAGCAAGGGCATTAGTGATTGGCCGAGTCTGTTGCAGAGAGTCTTGTGATTGGCCGAGTGAGATCCAGGGATACTGTGCTAATTGGCTAAGTGTACAATTAGCAAACTAATTAGGAATGTCAGAGTACGGTACTAGTACTCTGTACTGTGTTGATAAACATAATAAAAAAACATTATTTTGTGGGCAAATTAGAAGTTAAATATCAGTACTGTCATCAAACAATATGTATTGCCATTATATTTACCAGTATCTAAAGCCTGATCAGTGTGTTGGAAGGAGCTTTTGTATTCATTTAATTTTACCATTAACTGGGACTTCAACCTTTTTGGGTTAGTTTAATTATTTGTTGTTTACTTGTGTAATTACTGTTCATGAACAGTTAAATTATTCAGCAAATTATTAACATCCCTTGTAAAAACATTCAATCATTAGTGACTCTTGGCCTTTCTACTGTGATGAAGAACATTAATCCAGACTGGAAAACCCTACTTTTTCCAAATGTCAAGGTCATGATGTATAAATCGTGCTGAAGTTTTTGAATCGCTATATTGTTGACTTTATATTTCGGATGCCTCATCCAATTTTGCTACCAATTTTAATGTAGCTCTTTTGGGACAAGCTTTCAGATGACTTTTGATCAGGCAATCTGATTGGCTGTCAGCTTTCTTGGAGTAAAGTAACAGTATTTATTTATTTTTTTAATCGGTCTGTCTGGCAACGAACTTGTCGAGCCGGTTTAATAAAGCACGAACAAAGTTTGGCATTTAAGCGGCGTCAAGTGTTTTGTTTGAGGCATTTAAACTAGTATATTGTGAAGTATTTCTGTGACGTTTTGGGTTTGCTGCACACTGGGTAGAGATTTAAATGTCCAATGTTACAGAAGTAGCGACGATAATTTCTTACGTATCTTGGCGTACATTTTATCAAAAAAAGAAAGCTTCTATCCATTGGTTATGAATGAGAGCTTTTAGTCGATTGTAGGAAAAAGGGGTGTTTGTTGTTTGCATTCAACCCTTCTGTACCTAAAATATCCAAATTAATTGATATTGAATCAAGATTAGAATCAAATCACAAGCTTATGAATCCCCCCCACATCTATAATTAGCACTCCAAGCTAAACTCAAAAGTTGGCAGCCCTGTTATGTACAATACGTGACACACAATCAAACCAAACTGTATTCAGACTCCTTCAACATTTCTCACATTATCTCAGTTTATTCGCTATAGTTTATAAACATGAGCAGAAGTCAGTTCTCAGATCAGTGGATATTTGACTGGTTTTGTCCGTCCTTCTGTTAGACTCTCACACATGAATTATGTTGAATATCTGTCAGCTGTTAAATTTAACTACACAATTAGATAATACCAGTTTAGCTCAACCAGTGACCAAGCAATGCTTCATGTTGTTCAGTCTGTGTGTAAAAAGAGCATTAGCCATTACAGAAAACACACTTTTTCTGCAAAACATCATCAGCTCAAAGTGTCTGAATAATATTTGCTCCCAAATGTTACTGGTAGTCACTGTATGAAGAATATTTGGTTACAATATGTCACAGTTTACTTTATTTTGCTCTCCTCACTTACATAAATGGACTATAGTGTCCTGATCACACTAGTGAAAAAAAAATTAAATCTGGTGTCTGAATCCATTTTTGGTTTGACTGTATGTGACATTCTGCGCGAC